AGCTTTTTCTTAATTTAAAAAAAAAATATTTCTAGGCTGCATAGTTTGTCTATGAATTTTTTTCAAATTGTCACAAATCTCCAAAAAGCTTACCAAAATATTTATTGAAAAATATCTGGGTATAAGTGGAGCTACACAGTTCAAACCCATGTTGTTCAAGGGTCAAGTGTATATTCACTCACTGGAAATTTGTAGCTGTTAATAATAAATTATAATATCTGAAGTCAGTGTAGGAAAGTACCAACCACTTTTTATTTCCTACTGGGTTGTGTTTTTTTTTTTTTTTCCAGCATGTCTTGCAGGTAAAATAAAACACATTCTGTAGCTGCTGTTCTACCTTAACACTATTACTTCATCATCATCCATCATTTATATTTATTTAAACACCTACTGTATTTTTAAGTTAGCAATTCTTACATTACCTGTATTCTGGTAGTATGTACTGAGATATGCTGTAACATTTTTATTCTCTTACAAATACTGACCTCTAGAGATAAAACAGTGTAAATTCACTTCTTTACTGTTTTGGAATATTTATAAAAAGAATTTAGAGGATTTTTTTCTCTTCATTTTTTTATTATGAATAATTTCAAACAAACAAAATTATAATGAATACTTATATACCCCTTCATCCAGATTTAATAGTTGATAACAGTTTTACATATTTGCTTTCCTATTTTTTGGCCTATGTACCTTAAAGAAAATTATAAGGATCATAATATCTTACCCTTGTGCTTCAGTGTGCATCTCTAAAAAGTAAGGACATTTTCTACACAAGGACCATATAATAAAATTAACAATTATTTCCTAATGTCATGGAATATTTGCATTTCCCAGTTGCTCCTAAGGTGGATTTTACAGCTTATTACTTCAAACCAAGATCCAGTCAACCAACAAGCATTTATTTTGGTTGATAGGTTTTTAAGGTTTCATAATCTAGAACAATCCCCAGGCCCTTTATCCTTCCCATGACATTGACTTTGAGAAGTTTAAGTCATTTCTCCTTTAGAATATTCCGCCTTTTGGACTTGTCTGATTGTTTCCAGAGGGTGCCATTTAACTTGTTTATTTTTATATTGTTATAAAGTGCAGATTAGGTATCAATCTTGATTGGATTGAGGTGAAGCATTTTTGTCGTGAATACACTCTAGGTATGTTTCATGTACTTCCTACTGCATCATATTGCATAATACTTGTCTTGCCATTTAATGATGCTCAGATGATTAAAGCGCTCATGACCTTATCTCTTAATTATAAAGTTTTTATTTTTTTTACTAGCAGGTAATCTGGAGAGAGATTTTGACATCATTTCAGATCAGTTTTTATTAAACCTTTAATAATAGTTTTAAGATCTCTTGAAGATGTTATAAAATCAGATTTTCCAGTTCTGTTGTTTCTACATATACCATGAATTCTTCTATAGAGAACTTTCTCTATTAACTGGAATTAATTTGTTTATCCTGAAATGTTTCTTCTAGAAAAGCAGGATAAATTTTTAATTCTTTTTGTTTTTATTTATCAATTTTCAGAGTAAGGAGTTAGCTATATAGAACACTACCAGCAGGAGCATGTTTTTCCAGGGAGGAACAGGTTTTCTCTCTCTGTAAAATATTCTTATGATCTAATGAATTTTATATGTTTAGTGTGCTTTAAACAACTACTGTTATTTTTATGTTAAATTTGTTCTTTTTGTTGCTCACTTTCGCTGATGCCTTTATATATTATTTTTTCTTTACATACTCATGTAGTCTTTTTCTTTAGACATTGTCTCATTGTCTCTTGGTTCACTACTATAAGCAACAATGAAATTAGCATATTTTAGCCTTGACCATCATCCCATTTTAGTCAGTTTTATTCTTTTGATGTTTACTTTTCCACTCTCTTATTCAGCTTGTCAGAGTTAAATGGTGTCCTTTAACTTTTATCAGCCAACTATGAGATAACTACTTACACACATACCTTATTCTTTTACCTTATTCCTTCCCATCTTTGGATTCCTTAGAAATCCACAGTTAAATTTGTTCAGTGGTAACCAACAATGCATTTGCTAAGAGTTCCTCAGTCACCCCTTGGTTGGATAAAGCTTGTCTTCTAATAGATTACCTTAGAAGTGGTAACTCATGGTATGATCTTCCCTGAGTACATGCTACCAACTTTGTCTATAGTCTTGATAACTTGAAAGACTACGTGGCTGGTTATAGTCTTTGGTCCATCCTGTATTAGTTTCCTTGGGCTGTTGTAAGAAGTTACCACAAACCTGAAACAACAGAAAATTATTATTTTAAAGTTCTGGAGGCCAGAAGTCTGGTATCAAGGAGTCAGCAGGGCCATGCTTCTCTGCAGGGTTAGAGGAAGTTTTCTCATGCAGCTTCTGGTGGCTGTAGGCATTGTTGGCATTTCTTAGTCAGTAGATGCATCACTCCAGTCTCTGCCTCTGTCTTCACATGACAATCTCCTTTCTGTCTCCTCTGCTTATAAGGACACCAGTCATTAGATTTAGGGCCCACCTTACTCCACTATGACCTCAGCTGAGCTAATTACATTTGCAAATATCCTGTTTCCAAATGAGTTCACAATCTGAAGGTTCCAAGTGGACATGAAGTTTGGTAGGACACTATTCAACCCACTAAATTTTATCTTCAGTGATATAACTGTGATATCTTTTAGAATTGGCATTCTGGGCAGATTTTCCAGGTACTCAGTATGTCTCTTAGTATAGATATTTAGGTCCTCTCCTAATTTTAAAAATTTTTTTGGAGACAAAATCTCACTCTGTTGCCGATACTGGCGTGCAGTGGCATGATCATAGCTCACTTCAGCCTCGAATACCTGGGATCAAGTGATCCCCCCACCCTGGCCTCCTAGAGTGCTGGGATTTCAGGCTCAAGCCACTGAGCCCAGACTAAGATCCTCTTTTGTTTTTTAGGAACATTTTCTTGAATTGTAATTTTAAAGATTAGCTCTATCCTAATAGTTTTTCTTTTTTAGGGACTTCTTATATATGTGTGTTAACTCTTCTTTAGTTTTTTTAATCTATCACTTTCTTTGTAGTCCCCTTTATCTGCTTACTTGTTTCATTTTCCTTTTTGCTTTTCTCATTGCTTGCCATACTTTTGAACAAGTCTGTTGCCCTTTGTGTGCCCTGTGATTTAGTGCGAAGCCTGCAGTCATTATTTTTTTTTTTTTTCAGTTTCTTTTCTGTGTTAGGTGATCTCCCATTTCACAGCCTGTCATTGTTTGCTCATCTATTCTGAGTTGTTGATCTTTTGTTTCATGGCATTTATTCAATATATTGTTGCTTTTTATTTTTAGTCATGTTAGAATACTGGTTTATAGGTTTTCTCTGCATTGTGGAAATTCATGTAGTCTGAAATGTTTTCGTCTGTGTTTTCTTTTTATATTTTTCAGTGGGCATTGCAGTTTTACATTTCTTATTCATTCATATTTGGATCAGCTATTGTGGGATTAATGGAAGGGTGGTGGTGGAATCAGTTCGGGAGCTTTCATGTCTTCTAGTGTGGGAAAGGCTTTATCTTCATTATTAGTATGCTTTTTTGTTTTCAGAGTTCTCCTTTCTTGTTTGATCTGACCTTGTTTCAATAAAGCCCCTATCTTCTTCTCTTCTCTTCAGCTCTAGTTGCTGTCTTCCAAATCCCAAAAGATGCCTTACATCATCATCCCCTCCCTTGCTGCCACCAGGGTGTTCTCAAGACTACACTTTTGGTCCCATGTCTTCTCCAAGCTGCGCTTGGTGCTTTGTTGCCAAGTTTTAGGCCTATTTTCAGTACTTCTCATTTTAGACGGGACCTCTTCCTTCTGGGGAGAAATCCTGGCTGCTATTATCTGAGTCTTGCAGCCACTGGGAGTTCTCTGACCTCTTGGCACCTCTGTGAAGTTCCTGCTATAATCCCCACACTAGGGTTAGCTTCAGCACTTATCCTGCTAATCTTCAGTGTTTACTCCTTTACTTTCTCACACATTTTTGTTGATAGCTTTCTTCTGTCTCCTACTTACTATGTAGCTATAGAGCATGGGTATTTCTATTTGTTCTTCTTATTGCTGCATATAGTTTTCAGAAGGTGGTGTGAAAAGAGTCCAGGAGACTGCCATTATTCTTGGGGAACTCAGAAACCCAGACTCAGCTAATGTTTTTGATTTTTTTTTCTGCAGCCAGAAATAAGCTGGTGATGCAGCTGGTTTCATTACTAGCCATGGTGGACTATATCTTGCCCTGTAGTGAGTGACTGCTAAAACAACAATCTAATTGGGATAATTCTGAGTAAGTTTGTTCTCTTGTATAGTTTTATAGTCAGTGAAGAAAACTTCCAAACCAAGAAAATCATCTGAAGCCATCTCCAGCATCCCCTTCCCTTTAAAATTTCTATTCTATTTTGAAATCTAAGACTTCTTTAATACTCTGATAAGGCTGATATGTAAACCCAACTCACCTCTTTTAACTATTTTCTGTTTATAAAGTCACTTAGGAGTTTGAGCTAATATGCAGATAATTGAAACCATGAGTATATCAGAAATGGAGGCAGTATATGAGAAAATGAATTTTAAAATTAGAGTTAGGGAAGTTAGTTGTGCTTATGTTGCTCCCAGGAATCAGACTTTGAACTGGAGATTAGCTTCAGGATGTTTATTAGGGAGTGCTCTTGGGATCACATTTGTGAAAGGGAGGGAAGAAAGTGAGATAGACGCAGGGAGAAGTAGAGTTGCAGTGTCATCCCAGTGGAGCATGGAATCCTTAAGCTAGATATTTAATAGTCACTTTTGTTGGCTGTGCAAGATTACATGATCTTTTTCAGTTTCATCTTAATACATGTCTATTTTAATGTAAAAATACATATATATAACTTTTGTACTCTGAAAAACAATACAAATAATTTTTTAGAAGAGAGTATTTTGTCAGTCACATGGTACTTTGGGTTCTGAAGAATATAACCTTTAGTTTTAAAGCTTCAGTGGCATTTATGGATATTGTATTTGCTTTTCAGCTTGGGCAATGGTAGATGGTGGTTCAAATGTGAAAGCCCGCTCTTCCTACAATGAGAAGACCCCAAGGATCGTTGTGTCTCGTTCCCATTCAGGGATGGTCAAACAGGTCGCTCTTCAGACTTTTGGAAACCAGACTACAATTATCCCAGCTGGTGGTGCTGGTATGTTCTTCCTGTGTGATCCCTGGAGCGTGTTCCTGGCATTGTCAAGGCTGTGTCAGGAGACTAATTTGCTTGTCCATGCTTGGGAAGAAAGTGAAGAGGAATGGTGTACTTTGAAGGCAGGCTTGGGCTCCTGTTTGGTAACCTCAAGGGTGGGATTTTAGTCACTGTTCCATTCTTACTAGAAGGAAGCAGTCCTACAACAGTGATCTCTCTTCTTGAATATACAAAAGCATATTCCCATTAGATCTACCACTAGTTGCTTTTTATGCAGTCTGATTTCAAAGTGATTATCTTATTTAACTGTGGGAATATCAGGGAGAGGAAGAAAGATCAAGCACTTCAGATGCTTCATATGAGAGAAAGATGCCAGGAGTCATCATAAGTATTATTAGAAAGGCTAATCCCTGGGTCACTTTAACACCCCTGAACTCTTTAACCTGCATGCCTGGGATGAGCAAGAGAGGCTGGTACCCATCCAGCTCACTGTGTATTCTGTACTATTGTATTACCCAATTAAAGATCAGCGGTCAGCTTAGTTTTTCTGAAAAGAAACAGATAATATTTCAAGCCTCATGAGCCATATACAGTCTCTGTTGCATACTATTATTTGATTTTCTTTAATGAACTTTTAAACATATATATATATTTTTTTTTTTTTTTTTTTTTGAGACGGAGTTTCACTCTTGTTACCCAGGCTGGAGTGCAATGGCGTGATCTCGGCTCACCGCAACCACCGCCTCCTGGGTTCAGGCAATTCTCCTGCCTCAGCCTCCTGAGTAGCTGGGATTATAGGCACGCGCCACCATGCCCAGGTGATTTTTTGTAGTTTTAGTAGAGACGGGGTTTCACCATGTTGACCAGGATGGTCTGGATCTCTTGACCTCGTGATCCACCCGCCTCGGCCTCCCAAAGTGCTGGGATTACAGGCGTGAGCCACCGCGCCCGGCCTAAACATATTTTTTAAAAATTCTCATCTTAAGATCCCTATAAGAACAGGCCATGACCTGGATTTGGCTTGAGGGGCTATTTGTCACATCCTGCTATGACTGTGGTCTAACACATCAGAAATGTTTTAATTCGGGTTAATAGCAAATTATGGTCAGAAAACAAATGTTTTGGAAAACCTTCTCAGCACACATAAAGGGAGAAGTAATACTTCTTAAATTTTTTTTCTGGGACAGGATCTCATTCTGTCTCTCAGGCTGGAGTACAGTGGTGTGATCTCTGCTCACTGCAACCTCTTCCTCTCAGGCTGAAGCGATTTTCATGCCCCAGCCTCCTGAGTAGCTGGGACTACAGGCATGCACCACCATGCCTGGCTAATTTTTTGTATCTTTAGTAGAGATGGGGTTTTACCCCGTTGCCCATGCTGATCTCAAATTCCTGAGCTCAGGCAGTCTGCCTGCCTTGGCCTCCCAAAGTGCTAGGATTACAGGTGTAAGCCACCACACTTGGCCAAGATTTTTTAGCTTTTAAGCCTAATAGTTTTAATTATCTGTTTTATAAATCTGCCTTCTTTAATATGGCTTCATTATTTTCTTAGAGGCTGTTAGGTTGATCAGGAAAATTAATGTCCAGAATACCCAGTAGAAATGAGATGACTAGAATCTAGACCCAGTTTCTTCTGCATTTATTACTTTATTTTAAAAATTCTGCCTCATTACAAAAAGGCCTTAGAGTGGTAGTGTTACTGTTAGTTCTCTTCTTTCACATCAGGCCTACTTAAATGTTTAAGTAAAGCTCATTTTTGAAATGAAATATATGCTTATAACTCATTTTTGTTCTGAGTTTAATGTTTATACTGTTACTTTAAAGTGTTTTAAATTTGAAGTAATTTTAAACTTAAGCAGTTGCAGAGACGGCAGCAGGCTTCCGCACACCCCGTCCTTTTATTTTAACAGTTTACTTAGTCAAAAAAGTATGCCTTCTTAAAAATTTTTTGAACAATAACCTAAGTTCTTTGTTTATCTTTTAGGTTATAAAGTTTTAGCACTTTTGGATGTCCCTGATAAGAGTCAAGAAAAAGCTGATTTGTATATCCATGTGACATACATCAAAAAGTGGGATATATGTGCTGGTAATGCCATCTTAAAAGCCCTTGGGGGGCATATGACTACTCTGAGTGGCGAAGAAATCAGTTATACCGGTTCAGACGGCATTGAAGGGGGACTCCTTGCTAGCATCAGAATGAACCACCAGGCCCTGGTCAGAAAACTCCCAGATCTAGAAAAGACAGGACATAAGTAAGCATAACTGATTACAGGGTGCAGTTCTTCACAGCTGAGATGGTTAGCCTGAAATGCTGGAAGCTTCAAAAGATTGATGGAGACTATGCATGGTTAAGGCCATCCCAAACTTTTTAAAGTATTTATGAAGCATCAGAGACTTATTTTCCCTGTAATAGGATGCAAGATCAGGGAAAATGTGTTGCTTTGTGTCTCAAGTATTGTCTTTATTTTTGAGACTATTTTCATACAGTTGTCATACACAAGGCGCATATATATATATTTGTGAATTAAAATCTGTAGTTGAGTCTACATTGTTACGAGTCACCATTTTCACACAACGTGAATCTTCACTGTTAGTACTTAATATATAGAATTTGGTTGAAGGAAAGATTGATTTTTGTGTAGATGTTTAATATAACTTTACGATTATATCTCATTGATAGTAGTCATTGGGGATTTTTACCTCTAATTTGGATGGAAAGCACAAGAAGCCACACACTCAATATGCAACAAATGTTGTATTTATGTTTACTGAATATTTCTATGGATTAAAATAGAAAAAGTTTAATTTTTTCTTTGAAATTTTAATAACAGGTTCACCAGCTGATAGAACATAGAGACACATGATGGTTTGCATTGTAATAATTTCTGTGTGTGTGTGCGTGTTGTTTTGTTTTTATAAAGTAAAGTGTGTTTGTACCAGGAGTTCAACATTTCCACCATCTTGCTGTCGATTTTCATTTTCCCTATGGAAGATGCATGGTTGCATTCTTTTCCTTCTGACCAACATTTAGTCTTAACTTTGTAAGGTTTGGTTTAAGGTTTCAGGGTTAGCACTACAATTTTGGTTCATTTTCTCATTAAGGATAAAATATGCTGTAAAGCACCATAAGAATAAAAATGATTCTATTACAGTTGAAGTTACTTGACATTACATGAATTGAACTGGCTTTCATTATTTTCAGACACTTTGTTTTAGCATTTTTTTAAAAATTTGCCAGGTTTGTATATAGAAGATTATCTCATTATCAAGAATGAATATGGTTGCTTTTACCGTGGTTGCTTTTACTATTAATAAATGTATCTAGCCTAACCAAACTCTGAAAGTGTAGTAACTTTTGAGATTCTCTTAATTTCCCTTCAGATTAAAATAATGAAGGTTGAAGGTACTTTTTGATGAAATTTTTTCTATTCAGTCTGGTTAGAAAAAAAAGTTGTGACGTAATCATTGTGTCACCAAACTAGAAACTTGATTTGTGAATTATCTTTCATTGGGATGTGTGGTTTCTCTCAGTGTGGTATCTGGAAACTTCATGTAAACTATCCATGCCATTATTTCATATGACTCCAGTGCCCTTGAATCCCATAGCATACTGATAAGGAGAGGGATTTCACATGGTTTCTTTCTTTTTTAAATTTTTTAACCATAAACCAGCTTTCCCTTTATTTTCCTATCTTGGAGGTAAAATTGACCAAAGAATGTACCTTCTAGCCTGGTGGAATGTGCATACTTTAGGTTTGTATGTTACATTGTCCAAAGCCCTTTACTTTCTTATTAGTAAACTGAATCTAACATGATAGAAATATTTTCACCCAATCTCTTACAACTGGTCAAATTCGATAAGGTGGTGGGCCTCATTAGTAGGACTTTTTAGTGAAAATTCATTCAAAGTTTTGGTAGTTGGAACACTTGATATTTAAATAGGACTTGAGAATTTTGAAAAGAGTATCAGAGACCTCATCTTTTCTACTTTGCAGTAAGATGAAGAAACTTTCTTTTTCAGGAGAGACGGCAAAGGTACATGCTGTTGCCAGAGTCCTGTGCTGTAAGCATGTGTTATAGTATGTCAAAGTTAGGGAAATGGGACTGGGAAGTAAAAAATGGAATTTAATTTCAATGTTATGAGGGGACTCTATGATTTAGTGGGAAGCAAACTAGTTCATATTAACAGGAATGATTATTTTATTATTTTTTGAGATGGTGTTTCCCTCTTTTTGCTTAAGCTGGAGTGCAATGGCATGATCTCAGCTCACCTCAGCCTCTGCCTCCCAAGTTCTCTCCTGCCTCAGCCTCCCGAGTAGCTGGGATTACAGGCATGCACCACCAGGCCCAGCTAATTTTTTTGTATTGTTAGTAGAGACGGGGTTTCTCCATGTTGGTCAGGCTGGTCTCGAATGCCTGACCTCAGGTGATCTGCCCACCTCAGCCTCCCAAAGTGATGATTTTACTTTTAATTTTTTTAATCTGCATGTAGATAATGCCTTTGTGAAGGTTATGTGTTGTGTGCAAAACTTAACAATATTGGCTGAGAGTTAAATACATTCTTTTATAGTATGTTGAGTATAGTCCAGTTATGATTTTTAAGTACTTTTATTAAAAGTTCATTTTTAACATTATTTGTTCCTAAAAGCCAATATACTTTACAGAATTAGGAACAGTATATTTATTTCTACAAGATGTTATTGTGCCAGAGCATACTAGTAAAACACCTACATGAATGAGTCATGTAATATCTTCCAGAATTACATTAAAATTATTTCTAAAAAGTAGCAAAGTAATTAACTACATTTTACTTTTAATACCTACACCTTACCAACTCCTGGTCTTGTCTTTACTGTTGCCCTTATTTTGAGGCAGTTTTTCCTTAAAACATGCACCACAATACTAGAAGCAGTGACATCAGTGATCTCAGTACCTGTCAGCTGTCCTGCTCCTCTTCATCTCCACCTGTGACCATTTCCCTTGCCCATTTATGTTCTCCTTTATCTCTGCTTCTCTTTCTTAGCCACGAGACTCCCCCTACAACTCTCACTCCCAATTTTTTTTAGATATACATTTTTCTGGATATTGGCTGCTCAAATCTGAAGCTCTGGTAAAGTTCCTAGTGCGAGAGAGAAGTCCTGGTGGACGCCTAGTTAACTGTTACATTGCAAAGACTCCTCAGAAAGTAAAGGAAAATTACCTTCAAAACCACAAACCTTTATGTTGTCAAGCCTAATATGAGTGTTCTGTATTTCTTCCTACCCATTGCTCAAGAATGTACATGCAGAAAAAATTACAAGAGAGTTGGGTACTTAGGCATGCTTGAGGAAACTTGCTTTTACTGTTTTCTTACTTGTATCCCCATTTCAGGTGAATTTACAGTGGTCCTACAAGATGGTCATGTTTGTTTTGGTATGTGCTATACCAATTTTAGTGTTTTTTTCTTGATTTTAAATCAGTATTCAGTGGATTGTTATACTATATAATGAAGTAACAAAAACATTTTGGTTTGTATGTTTAAAGTAACAGTTGTGCAAATTCTTCCTGTTAGGTTCTCCCTTTAAGTATTTTGTGAACTGTCAGAAGGAGACGCGTGGTGGCTAGGAAGAGGGTCAGAAAGAAGCTAGAGGGAGCTCAGGGGAAGGGTAACAGGGAGGGTGCAAAGCAAACATTTACCCTGGTCACCCCGGGGTCAGGATCTCTGCTCTTGTCTCATATTGAATTCAAAAAATGGATTTCACTTCAGCTTTGAAGGTGACAGCCATCTCTGATAGCTGAGCATAAGTAAAGAAAGGTGGAATGCCAATGCAAAACGGAAACCAGCTTTCCTCTCTTAGATCGCACTTTGAAGATGGACTTCTGGAGACAATCTGACAGGTTAAAACAGGGACCGTTGGAATTATTCTAGCTGTAGCTACCTATTGGCTATGTGTTGATTGATCCTAGAAAAGAAATAATTTTTCATCTTAGATCTTGATTGAATTTAAGATGTATTTATATGCCTACAAAAAGTCTGTCTTGTAACTATTGTATAAAATAAACCTAATCTGTGGTTTCATTTTTAATCTAAAAAAAGTTGTGCCTTATCAATAGGGCATTGTATGGGCAAACAATCTTTTTAGTAGATGGGGAAAATAGGAACTTTTTGCCATTAAAACTTAAGTTCTTTTGATGTTTTTAATATAGTTGGGGGAAATTCATTAAAATTAAATTGAAATAAAATTATTTTTGCATAACCTAGCATTTACAACTGAAGTATGTTTTTTATAAGAACTGGCATCTTGATGTATATAGGTCTGAAATAATATTTCACCTTTTGATTTTTAATATTAGACCAGGTTAGATCACACTTTTAGAAATCTTAAATAAATTATTTCAGTGTGCTGTTATATCTGTTCCCTTAGTCCTCTACAGTCATTTTGATTTAAAAAGTAGCTATTTATGATATAGCATATCAATAATCTATTAATGTTAAAAAAAATACTGTGTACGACATTACAAACCAGAACTGTTCCTACGGGAAGAGGATTCTAATTGATTGGCAGTTCTGAGAGGGCAAGAAGAATCGAACTTTGTACTTCAAAAGGAGGTTTTGGTTTTACGATGTACTGCTTATGTAAACTGTTTACTTTTTATTTCATCAAAGCCTGGCAGGTATATGCATTCCAATTTACCATTGGCAAAGATTTAGTTCTATTTTTAAGGTTGGATGTTGAGTTAATTTTGTGGGAAAATGAGATTTGTAAGTAGTTTTCCTTCTAGCTAAGATAACATAAGCCAAACTTTCAGAAGTCAAGAATGATGAATAATATTAAAACAACTTGTTATGTATTGTGTTTGTAAGGGTTTCCTTAAAAAGTATCATAACTAACAATGTGTGTAAATTGAAAAAGCATAAACTGTGATATCTGATTAGTAATATGTTCCCTTACAATTCATTTTGAGGTGTATGTTATACCCATAGTAAATTTTTATTCAGGAATGACTTGCTTGTTCTATATTTTTTTTAAATAGGAAATAAGACATAGTGAGTTATTACATCAATTGACCGGATTAACCATATTTCATCCCCCTCATCACTGAAATTATTTCCTGTAGCCAACTTTCTTATTCTTGTGTTAGGAGGGCACATTTATGAACTAATTTCCATGTGCCCTCTTGTCCACTACTGGCAGTAGTCAAAGCTAGCTGTTTCAGTTTCACAGAAGAGACAGCACTCTGCCATGATGACAGGGCACTGCTAGGGCTGGCTTTTCTGGTTTTCCCCTTTTTGGCATTGTGGACTTCAGCAACTATAAGTGTGTATGCACAAGGGCTTGAGTTTATGCTAAAACTAGGAAATGGAGTTTTCAGCCTATGTTCCTGCCTCTTCATACTTTTATTTTTTGTCATCTTGCCTTATACTGGGCTAACAATGAGATAATTAAAATAAAAATACCTTTGAATATTCCTTTCCCTTTCATATATTTAAAGCTATGGAGGAACTAGACCATTAGCTGTTGCTGTCACATGCTTTCACAGCAGTTTACTTAGCATGTTATGACCTTTTTCACCCACACTACCAAATTTAAAAGGGTCCCGACATCACCCTCTGCAAGTAAGTAAACTCTCCTCCCTCCATGGGTTGTAGAGCAGTTTTTACCTCCAAGCAGCACCTCTATATGTACTCTCATTAATTGTACATTTCCTGAGAGGGATTGCATCTTGGTGATTTTTGTATTTCCTCCTCAACCCCAGCACCTAGCCCAGTTTTGCACAAATTAAGTACTTAATGTGTGTTGAACTAAATTGAATAAAGGATTATTAGTATTAGCATGTTTCATGCCTTGGTTGTATAAACTGGTTGTTCTGTTACCTTTGCAAATATTTATGGTTATCACCCCCCACATACTAAATTGTTTTTAAAAGTTTGCCTTTCCTTCAGATACTACCCCAGGCAATTTGCTGTAGATAATGTGATTGCTTCCAATGACATAATTATCCCAAACTCTTGGCCCTTGGATATACTTTGCCAAACGAAATTTGAATTCTCTGAATAAATTGGTCATGTCTAAAAGAGATGGTGTGCTGCATCTCCTTTCCCCCCCGCCTTTTTTCATTATGGTAAAACACAGATAAAAATACCATTTTAACCGTTTTTAAGTGTACAATTCAGTGGCATTCAGTGCATTTACACTGTTGTGCAACCATCTAAAACCGTTTCCATATTCTGTTCATCATTTCTAAACAAACTATACTCATTAAATAGTAACTCTTCATTTTCGAGCATCCCTGCCAGCCACTGCTAATATCTCCGCCCCCACCACTGAGCCAACCCCTAACAGCTCTTCAGCTTTCTGTCTCTGTTAGTTCATCTGATTTTGAACTCTTAAGTCATCTGTTTGAGAACAGATGTACGTGACATACATATGATAAAACTATAACTGGAATCCTGAGATTTTTTAAAAGTAAGATGGGGGATAGAAAAAGAACAAAAGAAGAAAGGAAAAGATTGTTGAAAGGTGGTAATTTTATTGAACACCAAGATTTTGGTTTAGGCCTGGTTGTTTGCCACGCAGAAAGCCAATCACTGAGACAATGAGTATTATCAAGGAAGAAGGGCTTTATTTGGGTGATGGTAGGGAGATGAGACTCCCCCCACAATTCCTAATTAAAGTTAGGTGTTTATATAGCAGAGGGGCAAGGAAAAGGAGTTGGTTAACAGGCAGCAGGTGGTCAAATGAACGGTCTGGCATCTTACTGTCTGGATGGATGATTGGGTAAGATTAAGTTCTTTGATACTAATACTATCTCAGAGGCCTAAAGGAACTCAAATAAGACAAATGTAAGTTTTAAGCTTTAAGCCCAGGAGGGTCAATTTCTATGTTGATTGAAAAAAATCTCATTAACATCAGTTCTATGGGTTAATTGGGCCAGTTTAATACAAAAAGTACAATGAAAAGGCTACACAAGGCTTTTGTTTAAGTTTTGTTAAGTGTTACACATCATCTAGCCTCTTTAAAATTTTTCAAATTTTAGTTTGGTTTCTTCTGAGGATCAGTAAAGCAAGCTTTGCTAGGTGCAGTGGCTCACACCTGTAATCACAGCCCTTTGGGAGGCTGAGGCGGTCAGATCATGAGCCAGGACTTCAAGAACAGCATGGTGAACCCATGTCTCTACTAAAAATACAAAAATTAGCTGGGTGTGGTGGCAGGCACCTGTAACCGCAGCTACTTGGGAGGTTGAGGCAGGAGAATCACTTGAACCTGGGAGGCAGAGGTTTCAGTGAGCTGAGACCATGCCACTGCACTCCAGCCTGGGCTACAGAGCAATACTCTGTCTCAAATAAATAATTAAATAATAATAAAAAAGCAATCTTCAAACTAGCCAGACATTTCCTTCCATCACTGGCAAACTGTTTCTCTCTTGAAATCCTTTGAGAGCAACTTCTTATTACCTACAACGTATCTTAATTTCTTCAACTATGGTTCTTAAGTATAAATTGACATTCTTTGCAATGTTGCATGACTGAAATTTTGCACGTTAAATTTCCTAAGGACTTCTTGAAAAAATATTTATTGACTCTGTAAGTTAGTACTTCCCCCTTGATAAAGCTGCATGTAAAGATGTCAGGGTGGGGGAGACTGTGGGCTTGCTCTGAACCCTGGGCAGCTCTGCCCCAGCCTTGAACGTCTAGGTGGACGGTGTTCTGGAGTTCACTATCACTCCTTCCATATACTTCCACGCATACTCTCTAGGCGACAAATGCATATAGAGGCAGAAAATACCTGAATATTACAAGAAATTCATGACTTCTTGATGCTCTTTAGAGACCTAATGATTTTTTGCTGTCTAGGAGTCCATTGGAGCATTGGGTTTGTATTTTTAAAATATTATAATCACAATTCTTATTATTTCTGAGATGGAGTCTCCTTCTATTGCCCAGGCTGGAGTGCAGTGGTGCAATCTCAGCTCACTGCAATTTCCACCTCCTGGGTTCAAGCAATTCTCCTGCCTCAGCCTCCCGAGTAGCTGGGACAACAGGCAGGCACAGCCACATTCAGCTAGTTTTTGGGTTTTTTTTTTGTATTTTTAGTAGAGACAGGGTTTCGCCATATTGGCCAGGCAGGTCTTGAACTCCTGACCTCCTGATCCTCCTGCCCTGGCCTCCCAAAGTGTTGGGATTACAGGCATGAGCCACTGCACCGAGCCGCATTTATTATTTTAAGTACACTCATGAAAGGGCAGTAGGTGAGTGGTATACTTTACTTAGCTTGTTTTTAGTTATTCTTTCTTTTTATAACCATTGGTGAGATAGGGGAAACAAACTCCTGACATCTCCTTCAAATTCATGCCACCTACCCAGAAAATACCAAATGTTTCTATGGTTGCTAGTGAGCTTCTTTCACAGTATATTTTAATTTCATGGAATGTTACAGACCACGTTTGTGGCTCTCCTTTGGTGATTCTATTGGCATTCCTGTCATATATCCTGACATGAGATAAGATTTTTCTGTTCTTTGAAAGCTAACATTATAAGCTAGCATCATTTGCTATGGCCCTATGCTCCTACCAAAGTAGGAGAGCCTAGCCTCTTGAGCTGGGACACCTTTATGGATTACATAAAAACAGATGGTACCTAGAAGAGTCAAGATCACAGAAGGTAAGCTGGTAAAATGAGAGCAAAAGAGTAAAGTGGATATTTAATAATTACTTGAGGAAGATAAGTGTAATGTGTGCACATAAAACAGTGGGGAATTGGATTATGTCCATGTGAGAATGGTTAGATAATTTATATAATATTCTTACATGTCTTATGTCAGCTTTACTTACAGCCCATGGAGGGGAGTCAAATATTCCCATTTTAGAGATGGTCTTCCTTACTAGCCAATAGTGACTTTGCAAACTGCCTAGTGGGTTGCCTGTCTGGCTGTCTAGCTTGAACTTTGCTGTGGTGATTAATCCTTTCTGGGGAATATTTTTCCCCCTTTGATTTCATTACCTTGTTTTCTTCTCATTTTCATCCTACCTCTTTGACTTTTGTTTCTTACTGTGTCCTCTGCTGCAATTCACTCTTCAATGTTTGTGTTTTCAAAAGTTCCGTATTTGGGTCTCCATTCATCATATTCAGCATATTCTCCCAGAGCAATTTTCAAATATCACCTATGTGCTGATGACCCCAGATTTCTATATCCCTGCTTTAAATTTATCCTACGCTTTAGACCCATATTTTCAAATGCATATCTTTGACTATCCTGCATGCTCCTGAAATTCAGCATGTTCAAATCTAAAGTAATTATGTTGCAATATACAACCTCTGGTAATCTCCTTAGCTAAAGACATTAGTGTCCAAAAAGCCTCCCAAACTAGAAAACTTAAAGATAGATATGTTCATCACCTTTCTCTAATTGTCTGCCTGTAGTTTTACCCCATCTCCTGAAACTTTTATCCACCAGTGCCTCTTGAATTTCTTTTTCCATTTGCCATTGAACAATTTTAGATTCTATCATTAAATTGGTTTAGAAGATTTAAAAATATATTGATGGGGTAGAACTGAAAGTAATTTTTTTCCAAGTAAGTTTTTTCCTAATTTTTTTTGTTTTTTTGAGACAAGGTTTCGCTTTGTTGCCCAGGCTGGAATGCTGCAGTGCAATCTCAGCTCAATGCAACCTCTGCCTCCCAGGTTCAAGCAATTCTTCTGCCTCAGCCTCTTGAGTAGCTGGGATCACAGGTAGGCCCCACCATGCCTGGCTAATTTTTGTATTTTCAGTAGAGACAGGGTTTCACTATGTTGGCCAGGCTGGTCTTGAACTCCTGACCTCAGATGATCTATCTGCCTCCCAAAGTGCTGGGATTACAAGTGTGAACCACTGCACCCAGTGTCTTAATTTTAAACAATGCATGCTCAAAAAGAAAATGAGTGAAATACAAATAAGTACAATGCAAAAAGTGAAAACCACCTTAATCCTGCTATCCAAAGAAAGCTGTGATTCACATTTTAATGTGTTTTTTGTCTATATTTTCCTATGAAAATACAAATTGTATTGCAAATTTCAACAATAATAGAAATACATATTTTTTCTCTGATTTTTAAACTTAGCAATATATCTTTGATTTTTTATGTCATTAGATATTAATTACAGCCTAAGTTGTTACAGTTACTTTCAACTGTACAGATGTGTATGAGTTAATGTATCCTCTTTTGTACATTTAGGTTATTTCCCATTTTAGTTATTACAAACAGCATTATAATCACCTCTGGAATTACTTCCTTAAACTAATTCTATACCAAATATTACACACATTTAAAGGATTGAAGCAGTGGATACATTCTTATTAAATCAGTAATATGTGTTTACTGTAGAAAAATTATAGATGAGCCAAAATTGCAGAATTCCACACAAACACTACAAAGTGGCTGCCAGTTTTATAAGTCCCTAAGACCACTCTCAGCTTCAATTTATTAGAAAGATTTCCAAAACTCAGTAAAATTATTATATGGTAATTGTTTATGAAAGCAAAAGGATACAGATTAAGATCAACAATGGGAAAAGAATCATAGGGCAGAGTCCATAAGAGTTCCAGGTATAAGCTTTCCAACTGCCTCTCCAAGTGGAGTCATGCAGACAGTACTTACTTCTGTTGTCAACCATATGTGGCAACATGCATGAAGTATTGCCACCTTGGGCGTGTAACTGCCAAACAGGTTCATTTTGCCCACTCCCCAGATAAAGCCAACTTATCAAGACAGGGGAATTGCAATAGAGAAAGAGTTTAATACATATGGAGCCTGTTAAGGCTAAGTGGAAGATTAGACCTTTATTATTACTTAA